TCGGAAGCTAGTGCCGGCCTCCTGCAGCCTCTGCCGCGCCCCTGCTCCCTGTGTGCATTTTGCTGTGTGTCCTTGCAGCGGACAAATCTTCACCCCGAGGACAACTGTATGCTGAACCTGCGAGCCCTTCTAGTGTCACAGAACTCGGGGTGGTTTCAGCGACCCCAATAAAATACCAGACAAGACTGTCAAGAGAGAAAAACACTGATAATAGCGATAGCGGAACGTTTGCAAAGGGCCTGTGCGTGTCAGGCGGTCTGCCCCCCGCATGCCTCGTCTCCTGAACTCCTCACGGAATCCCATCTTGTGGGGAAGGGGGTCCCATGATTCTGGTGAATAATTAGAGGGACATCGTCTGTCCACACAGCTAATAAGGGGCTCCTACCCAGAGCAACTAATCTTGAGTGTAGACTGCACCTTCATTCTATATGCTCCAGTCTGGAGACAGACTAACCACAGGGAGAGGGAGGGAAGCCAGGCCCTGCGCCCTGGGTGGAAGCTGCAATCGGCCATGCTGCTTCCTCGTAATGCACCTGAAATGAAGCGGGTTCCCCCCCCCCCCCACACCAGAAAAGGGCCTTCAGCACTGGGATCAACAGCAAACACCCCTCAGAACTGGGGACCATTTGAGTCAAGGATGGTCCATACACACATGACAGTTCATGCTGCCGCTAAAGTCACATTTTAAAACCATTACAAAACTTTGTGATGCCAAGGATATGGGACCTAGTTCAACGTTAAGTGGGTCAGAAGGACGTAAGTCAAGCCTCACAGAACGATCTCAGTTCTGGTAAAGGAAAAATCCCACGGGGAAAAAAACCAAACCAAACTGAGGAGCCATGTGCCGAGATGCCCGCGTGCCGCTCTCCGGGGGCCGGGCTATGGGTGATTGTTATTCTGTTCTTCCTGTTTCTCAGTATTTTCCAACTGCTCCAGAATGAGGGTATGTTGCTTCCAGAAAGCAACACTATGTCTCAAAGGGGGAGGGCGGTACTTTGCTGTCTGGTCCTCCCCGCTTGCCCGAATCCAGAGCATACATTATTCTGACTCCCCAGTACTCTTGGCGGCCAAATGCAGCCACGGGCAGAGCTGTCAAGGGCAGTGGGGAGCCCTGGCGGACCAGGCCCTGCCCGAGGACACTCTGTCCTGACGTGAGCAGGGAGGCGCCGGGTCCCTCGCTCCCACAGCTAAATGCTACTCCCCGGGAGAGGGAGAAGGAGAGGGAAAATTCTGCTTTTACCGAAGGATTTCTGAGGAGATGAGCAGGGGAAGATCTACAGTGGTCTTTTAGCATTCCCCGGGCTCCCGGACAGAACGGCTGGGAAAATAAAAACCTGTTAAAGTTTGAGATGCAGGACGGAGGAAGCGGGAGACCAAGTGGGCTTCTGCTGGAGCAAAGAGGGAGGTGGGTCTCAGGGCACATGGAGCCTCAGCAGAAACCTCCGAGGCCACCGAGCCCTCCGCACAGTCTTCCTGCCCCTCCTCCCTGCCCACTGCTCCCTCCTCTGTGAGGGCACTGCTGGCTGCTCAGTGCAGTTCCCACTGGCCTGCCTCTTCTCTGCTTCTTTCCTGGGCAGAGTCTGAGCCCCATCATTCATTCGATGAGGGCTGACGGAGGGCCTACTGTGTGCCAGGCCGGGAGAGAACAAAGTGGGCAGATGCTCATGGCACTTAACGCCTGGTGAGAGACAAGGCTTCCCCTGGTGCTCACAGTAGGTGCTCATACCTTCCACAGTAGGTGCTCATAAAAGCCTGGTTGACCTGATGAGGTGAGAAAGTACATATATGATCCCAAAAGTAACCCCAACATCCACAGGCATCACCCCGCAGCTACGCGTTTGATCTGGAAGGCTGCGCTAGAATTAGAGGCGTGTAGGTGGAGAGAACACAGATGTGGATTCCGGCGTAACTGGATGTAATGGCTTCTGTCACTTGTTAGTATAGAGCCCTAGTGCCAGCCACCCCCCCTCTCTCAAAGCAGCGTATGTGAAAGGAGGACAACACCCATTTCTCGGGGTCGTGTGGATTAAACAAGACCACGTGGGAGAGGTCCAGAGGCTGTGCACACAGTAGGAGCTCAGCAAGAGGCACAGCCCACTCCCCTCTCTTCCCTGGCATGTCTGCATTGGAAGAGAAACTGGGTGTAGAAAAGCTTTGTCTAAGGCAGCAGTTCTCAACCTGTGGGTCTCGACCCCTTTTGGGGTCGAACGACCCTTTCACAGGGGTCGCCGAAGACCATCGGAAAACACATATATAATTACATATTGTTTTGTGATTAATCACTATGCTTTAATTATGTTCAATTTGTAACAATGAAAATACATCCTGCATATCAGATATTTACATTACAATTCATAACAGTAGCAAAATTACAGTTATCAAGTAGCAACAAAAATAATTTTATGGTTGGGGGTCACCACAACATGAAGAACTGTATTAAAGGGTCGCGGCATTAGGAAGGTTGAGAACCTTTTCTGGTGAAACTGAAGAAAATGAGGCTCCTGGGACAGGCTCTGAGAACCCTGCGGAAGGGCACCACTCCCTCTAAAAGGTGGGTGTCATGCGAGGAGGTGGGGATGGTCTAAGAAATGGGTTTATCCTTCTTATTCCCCTCCTGTCTCCATGTGTACAAACAACCGCTCGCTTATTTTAAAGGGTGGCACTGGACGAAGGAGCTAATTCCCAAAAAGAGCTGGCCGATGCATTCTCCCCAGATCACCGCCCCCCCCGCACCCTGCCTTCCACACCCACCCATGGCCCCTTCGTCCCTGAGGCTCAGGCCATCTGGGCATCGTGCAGCCCTCACTCACCACCAGGGGCACCACGCCATTCGTGTCTCAGGAGGACCAGCAGCTTCTCTCACCAGGGCGAGCTGGGCAGCCAGCAGCCTCAGGCAGCAGGGCACCCAGAAAGAACTCTGGCTGAGACACAGCGACGCCGCAGGCATGCCCCCGTGGCGCCACTGGCTCGCAGGGTGACCTACGGCCACGGCCTCCTCTCGCTGGGACTCGGTTTTGTCAACCGGCCCTGAGCAGGCTGGACTCACCGAATGCTGAGGTCCTGCCCCAAGTCCAACCCCACTATCTTCTGGTTCATGACTGCACTTAGAAGGAAAGGCAGTCTAGAACCGCAGGGTGGTCATGGGTCATGGTAGCAAAGAGATCAGGGGCATGTGCAGGGACAGACTCCAGGCCTGCGGGCTGCACCTGGGGGACACATCGGGGTTCCCCGTTTAAGGAGTGAGCCCTCAGACCGTGGCGCCTGGGTGGCTACAGGGTCTTTCAACCAGATCTTGAATCTGGGGGCTTTGGGCTCCATTGCCAGGGCCTCGGGCTACTGTGGCCAGCGCCAGCAACAACATCAGACCATTTTAAATGTGGAAAACTGAGGCCCAGAGAAACCAGGGCTAAACCAGAAGGGCGGATGGAGCACTCCAGGTGTGGCAGGAAGCACCCCAACGCAGCACCACATCAGCGGTGGAGGCCCCTGTAGGGACCTGAGGCTGGGGAGACGCCCCTGCAATGGGACTATGCTGAGGGCCCTGCCTTTGTAAGCAGCTGCCTACGGCTGGTGAACCACCCGCCTTTCAGCTCCGCCTGTGCAGGCTGGTGGCTCTCGGTCACCCGTGCCCTCTCGCGCTGCGGCAACCTGCAGAACCAGCCAGGCCCCTGAACCCACTGCCTGTTAGCAGGGCCCTCTCCCACAAGCTGCCCACCTTTCGGTTTCTCCTCTGTAAGGTGAAGGCCATAATGCCACTCTCTCTTTAGTAGAGGCGCCCTACTAGCACAGGACCTCTCACTTGAGAATTCGATGAGCAGTGGCTAAAAAGAGAAAACGTAAGCTTTGGAGAATCCACGGCAGGCAGAGGGTCACCAGAGCGCCGTGCTCTCCTGCCTTTTATCATGTGTTTTGTGGTGAAACTCGACCTAGGGACTTGCGGGCATCCCCCTAAGTCCAAGCAAAGACATCTCCGTCTGACCCGGCAGATGGCACGGCTAAGACACTCCCCGTCACCAGATGACTATTCAGGCAGCATCTTATGATTGCGGAATGTAAATTATATGCGTATGTCTTCAAACTTAACAACTTGCTACTTGGATTAATGCTCTCAGGAGGCGAATGTGCCTCCCTCGGCTCTTCAGAGCTAACTCTGAAACCCGCAAATCACAGACCAGGCTGA